TAAAAAAGGAATACTTTAGTAGAAGACTTTTTGCAGGATCTGATTAAGCAAAAAAATGTAATATGAAATATGAGTGTACTTTGTTCACATTTAATGAAGTATAGGTCCTTTTGAAATAGAATAAAGAGGGGACCAGGGAGATGACTTAGTAGAATAAGTGCTTCCCTGGCAAGTGCAAGGGTCTGAGTTCAATCCCCGGTTCTGCAAAAAAACCAAAAACCAAAAACCAAAGAAACAAATTATTTGGGGGCCTGCCCATTAGCTCAGTTGTTTAAGTGCCTGCTTAAACAAAGCAGTCAGTCTCGGGATGCTGTGGTTCAAACTCATGCCAAACCAAAAATGCCTGAAGGCATCCTGAGGCTGCCAAAGGGGGGAAAAATCCTTTTGAAATAGAATAAAGAATTGTTAATACCTTTTCTAGTCAACATTTTCTACTTTCAAATAATGTACTTTTCTTTTTGGCTTTAAACTATAAAATATTTATGAAAATGAAATAGGTGCATACTTTCAAGTTCTTGTTAAGTACTTTTTTTTTTTTTTTTGGTGGAACCGGGGATTGAACTCAGGCCCTTGTGCTTGCCAGGCAAGCGCTTATTCTACTGAGCTATCTCCCCAGCCCAATTAAGTACATTTTACTAGTATTTATATAAGCTTTAAATAGAAGTCTCTCTTCTCTGTAGAGACCGAAGTTAGCAGTATATTAATTCTCAGTTGACCTTTATCCAAGTTTTTAGAGTATAATTTGTTGCTTACTAAGGTGCACTTGTACAGCTGCTTAAAACGTGTGTGAATCTGTTTGCTGTTTCACTCTGCACAAGGGGGACATGAAGAGCAGGTGTGTATGCATAACAGTAACCCAGTAACGGTTAATTCTCTGCTGTGAACATGTGGTTTTAGTTGAGGTTTTTTGCTGTTATTGTTGTATATTAACAAAAGATACAAAATGATCCTTTTGAAGTTATTTTATGTGTTAAATGGTCATGTTGCATCAAGTGTGGAATGAATGTATCACAGGCTTTTGTTACTTTCTTTTTGAAGTAGAATATAGACTTTTGTCTTTCTCTTTTTTTATAACAGAATAATTGAAAAGGGGGATTTCTAGTCCATTGATTGAGGTACTTAGAATTGAATCCAGGACCTTGACACTGAGCTACATCCTCAGCCCTTTTCAGTTTTATTTTGAGACGGAGTCTTGCAATGTCACTGAGCTGCCAAGCTGGCTCCTACTTGTGACCCTCCTGCCTCAGCCTCTCAGGCTGCTGGTGTGTACCAGCATGAGTGGCTCAAAAAGAGAAACATTTTAGTAATGACAATATACTCTTGAACAGGTGTTGCTCAAATTGAATATTTCACCTTAGCATTTGTGAGTGGTTTTGGAGTCATAACGCCTGGTTATTTGTTTCAAATTTTGTTGAAAAGGGAACACTGATACCTGATACTGTACTTAGAAGAAACTAGACAGAGTAGTTTCTGCATCATTATCTATTTAGATTAATAAGCTATTTTCTAGATATTTTATTCTCAGATATTTTATTATGCCATAAGAATTGGTTGATAAGTACAATCCATTTAGGGCCGGGGAGATGGCTCAGTGGAATAAGTGCTTCCCTGGCAAGCACAAGGGCCTGAGTTCAATTCCCGGTTCCACCAAAAAAAAAAAAAAAAGAAGAAAAAAAAGTACAATCCATTTATCTAATATCTGTTGCATCAGAATTAGTCGTATTATGAGGGATATCTAGAAACATTTCTGGTGATATACCTCTCCACAAAAAGCAACTACTTTTAATAGAGCATTTGACCATGTAATTAAATAATAAGCTCTTGTATTTTGAAATTGTAAGATATCAAATGAGGGCTTATGAAGAATAATATAAACTAATGAAGTTTTTTTTTTTTTAACAAAATACATATGAGCAGATGGGAAGTTCTAAAGCTTTGTGTGCATCCTTTCAGATGTCAGGAGATCTGATGGAAAGCATGGTGATAGTAATTTAAAATATAGTGCTTTTTACTTGAAGTTCACTGTGAGGATATACTTTTGTTTTACTTGTGGTTCTGGGGATCCCACTTCCACTGAGGTGTGCCCCATTCCAGGTGGATATTCAGTCTCACACAGAGCTCTGTGTAGAGCTAACAGACATGTCAGTTAGCTTGGTTACGGTGATCATTTCATGATGTAACCATGTATCAAAACACCACTTATGTACCTTAAATATATATAGTTATTATATATCCATGATACCTTAGGAACGTCAACTGTTAAAAATTCTTTCAGTGTGATAGTACTGTGAAAGAATGTTTGAGTTACTAAATTAGAAACTTGTTAGTTTACCAACTTGTGATAATTAAAGATTACAAATCTTCACTGGATAAAGCAACCTACTATTTATAAAACAACCATTTATTGTAATTTGTTTTGTGTCAAGTTTTCAGAAACAGAGGGTTTCTTTCCCTATAGACTCCATAGCAAATTTTTGATACTTCATTTATCATAGTACCATAGTCAGATGTGATGCCAGATAGTCCTATAGGTATTAAAATAGAAATAAATTATCTTAAAGTGAATTTATACACACATGTGCTATTAAAAGTCCCTGAAACATAATACTAACTAGTAATAAATCTTAATGTAGATTAGAATATATGCTAAGTACCATTCTCTATACTTTGACTTACCTTATTTTATCTTTATGATAATCTGATTCGGTAAGTACTGGTATAATCAGATACACAGATGAAGAAATTGTATGACTTGATCAAGGCCTGACAGCTTTATGAGCTCGAGTGCTAGCCACATAATTGATTCATTGTAGCATTGTGGTGTTGATGGTCCTTATTTGGCTCCTTATGTGTCACAGTGTCAGAAAACACTATAGGTGATGGTTAAGAACATTGAAAATTAATGGCGTTAGGGCTGGCCAGATAGCTCAGAGGACTAAAGTGCCTGCCTGGGCAGGTGCAGGGACCAGGGTTTAATCCCTGGTGTGCCATGCTGGCCCCTCTGAGATAACCACTGAGACTGGGTGTGGTGGCATGCGCCTGTAATCCCAGAGCATGGGAAGCTGAAAACTGGAGGACCATGAGTCTGATTTGTGTAGTGAGACCCTATAGACCCTGTACTAAATACATTTTTTTTAAAAAGAAAATTAATGGCATTAAATAAGGATGGAGATTTTAATTTTTTGTGTTAGTGAAGATTAAACTGAATGCCTAACACATGTTAAACAGGTACTCACTGACTTGTAGGCCCAGCAGAAGATGGAAAGTGTGTGTGTGTGTGTGTGTGTGTGTGTGTGTGTGGTGTTTGGAATTAAAAAGAGCTTTGTGCATACTAGGCAGAGTCTCTGCTATGGAGCCACCCGTTTTTAATTATTATAATCTTTTAAAAAACAGTCTGTGTAGTTCAGGCTGGCCTTGTACTTACTATGTAGCCCAGGCTAGCCTCAAACTCACAGTAGTCCTCTTGCCTTAGCCTTCTTTTTTTTTTTTTTTTTAAATATTTATTTATTTATTTATTTATTTAGTGTGTGGCCAGCTCAGCCCACCAAGGGGCGGGCGGGCTGGCATGTGGTGCTGGGGGATTGAACCGTTGTCCCTGTGCTTTGCTTAGCTTAGCTTGTTCTAAGTAGATGCTTTAGACCACTGAGCCATCTCACCAGCTCCTTGCCTTAGCCTTCTGAGTGCTAGGATTACAGGTGTGCACCATCATGCCTGGCTCCTTTAAATTTTTAAGAAAGGATCTCACTAAATTTCTTGTGCTTATGATCTTCCTGTCTCAGCCTATTGAGTAGGTGGGATTATGGGTGTGTACCACCATGCCAGCTTAATGAATTCACATTTTTTTTTTTGTACAAAGAATTGAACTTAAGGGCTGGGGAGATGGCTCAGTGGAATAAGCACTTCCCTGGCAAGTGCAAGGGCCTGAGTTCAATCCCCAGTTCCACCAAAAAAAAAAAAAAAAAAGAATTGAACTTAGGACCGACCTTGCACTTACCAAACACGTGCTGTGCTACTAAGCTATATCCGCATCCCAATTAATTCGCTTTTGTGTAACAATATATAACGTTAGATATGGGCCTCTGGTGGAGTGTCTAAACTAGCTTATGAAGTGATTCCATAAAATTTAAGTTGCTATTTTTAATTTTCATAACTATTTTGTTCAGGTTGGTTTGACTTCCACAAATACAGAACTAAGAGGATTTATAGATCAGAATCTCAGCCCAACAAAAGGTAAGCATTAAATGAAATTTTTGTGAATTTTGTATTATCTCATTTCTTTTGTAAAATGCACAGCTACAAGAATTACTTTATGTATAATAATATTAATTTGTTGTCACATACCAAATAACTCATGTTGCATGAACACCAGTTATTACTAAGATATGGAGGAGTTTTGTGTGATTTTTTTTTTTTTTTTTTTTTTCCAGGGATTGAACTCAGGCCCTTGTGCTTTCTGGGGAAGTGCTTATTCTACTGAGCCATCTCCCCGGCCCTTGTGTGATTTTTTTAAAAGTATATCTTTCCAGACTGTGCGTGGTGGCATGCACCTGTAATCCCAGCTCTTGGG